TAGTGCCACAACATATTTTCATGTCTGATCAGGGCGATAACCACCGTAGACATTGAGGGGGGCTACCCCCAATAATTAGAAATCGCTATAAACCCTTTTCTCAAATATTGTAAATTCGAGAGAGAGAGAGAGAGAGAGAGAGAGAGAGAGAGAGAGATGAAAGTTGCGTGTATGCACGTCTGTGCATTTCACTTTTTAGAGTGAGTTTACTTCAAAAACAGCGATTTTATCCTCTCGTCGCAGTAATAGGCTATTTAGAAAATATTATATTAATGCTGTATAGGAAAAGTAGTGGTTGAATGACATTATAGAATTATACAGACCACATATATATATATAAAGTGAAAGTTATTCATGTGGGTTTTCTTTGTTTGTTTCACTCTTGGGGAGGCTGAATGCTGCTTTGTAGCACTTGAGTGGTACGCTGTGTATGGGGATGGACGGGCCCTGGGGCGCACGCTGTGAACCAGAGGGACTGGAAAAATAACAGTCTAGCTCTGGCAAGCATTCCATTACTGTGGAGGCTGTGGAGATTGACTATGCTTCAGTCCCTGCGCTCATACCACCATATGGCTGCTTTTCTGTGTGACAATATGAAGAAGAAGAAAAAAGGGAAAAGGGTGTCACGGAAGGAAAGACCCATGGATTATGAAAATAGAAATATTATTCTAATAATAGATGGTGGTATTTAACAACTTCATTACATTGTGTACATTACAATAAACATTATTACAATATGCAATGCTATATTAGTTGATGTATATTCATTTAGAATTGCCATTCGTTGATTAATTAATATTCACTTATATTCATATAGAAATGTAAATGAACTACTGTTTATTAGTTATCTCCATTACATACTGTTTTTAATTATTTTGAATAGAAATAAGTGTAATTTATTAACATATATGTTATATATGTTTATTATTGATCTACATTACATATTGTTTGTTAATCATTTTAATAACAGTTACTGCCAATAGTAGGCCTAATTTATTAATGTATTAATATAGTTATAATGTTATAATGTATTAATGCATAATAATAATAATATTAATTAATAAGTAAACACAAATAATATCTACATAATATTTATAACAATAAAAACAAATACCCTTTAAATGACATCAAGAACATTGGCTTCATCCAATGTATTAAAGTCAGAGTTAAAATGATTATTCTGCTTAACAGACTTGCCACATACGAATTTGTCGTGATAATTCACCTTGGGCCGCTGAGTCTCAGAGATTGTATGCATGGCTGCACAAAATGGAGGATGATCTCCTCTCGTGAGCAAACGGAGTTGGAGTAAAACAGATACATGTTTATGCAAAGCCATGTTGAGAGGATGGGAGGCCAAAAAGCCTGTCTTTTTTCCACTAAGCCATCGCCCCATGGGTCTAATCCACGACGACTGAACTTCAGGGTTTGCCAAGCACTCTCTTCAAGTAACCCATAAGTATTTCCCAGATTAAGCTGCATTAATAAGATTTCATGCGTACATAAGTGATGGAATTATAGCAAGTAGATGGTTTGAGAAAAGCAGAAAATCATTGTTTAGAAGGTCAGCTGCTGATTGCATGAGCTAGTTTGTGACCTTGGCAGACAGAGGCAGAAATCATCCATTGTTTAATCCATTTATTGGCAAAACGTCACAATTATATATGTCTTAGTGCAGCAGAGAGTCTTAAAGAGGATATATGCCTTGCCCTAAACGTCATTCATTCATATAAATCTCCTTCCAACACATTACTATACATCCTCATTCCTCAGGATTTTACTGTGATTCCTGAAGCGATACAGGAAACAGAACCCATCATGTATCTGCAGACTGTATGAGTTAAAATAAGAAATAAACATTATACATGTGCACAGGGGCGTAGATTACACGGGGGACATGTCCCCCCCACTTTTAATATCACGTAAATTCGTCCCCCGCACTTTTTCGGGCAAGTGTGTTCGCATAGAGGTTTTCAAGAGCCGGTGTGAATAAATATAGATTTAAATTCAAAGAGACAGGATAGTCTGTGCATGATCTGATGTTTTATTCGGACCCAGAATAAGGCGAGATGAACATCACGGAGCGCTAAACATTCCGTGCAGTGTATGTTTCATTCATACTCGAAGCCAGAGGGCGCTCTCGCGCAGAAAGTCGTACGAGGAAATTCCTAATATGAACAAAAGCGTCCAGCTATCGCTGTATGAAAACAGTTGTTTTCATAGAAAACAGAAACGTTTGGAAACATGAAGACATTAAACATACGATTGCGACAATATATGGTTTATTTGTGTTTGTCAAGTCATCTCCAGGTAATAAATAAAGTATATGAACAATGCAGTGCTAACTGACATAGCATTTATTACAGTATAGAAACTATTCTGCATTATTATGTGATACAAAAGTGTTTGTAGTATATAAACAAATCATTATTATTGGTTATTGTC